AATAAATATAAGTATGGAAGGAAATTTTGAAACTCTTTGAGATCTATACTGCTGTGTTACTGTTTTTTTTTTTAAAAACACAATTGACCCACATGATCCAGTATTATCTTGTCATTTTTCATAGTCTACTTTTTTCCAATAGGTGGCACTGCAGTCCACGTAAAATGCTCCTAAGCTAGTTATCTGACCCACCCAGCGCCAGTCAAATCTGTGGGCTTATTCGCAACACTGCTATAAACTGTGCTACTGGACAGGCAAATCAGGCCACAAATCATGTGCAACATATCCCTGGGTCATTTTACAGGCAAAGGCCAGAGAAGTGAAGTGACTTGCTTGAGGTCACACAGCAAGTTATGGAATCAACTATAGGGCCTGAGATTTCTAACTTCAAGTTCTATGCTTTCCTTATTTGTGTTTCCATTCATGGCATTCTCAGATTTGCTCAAATCAAAAGAAATTCCTATGTATGGTAGGGGCATAAAAGAGAGAAATATTCTCCCCTGTGATAAATGGTATTGATTCCATCCTTTCCTCTGTAGGAGAGCGAGTGTGCTAGTATAGCCATAGGATGCTCTCCCTATAGGCTAACAAAGAGGATTAATGCCCATCTTTCAACAAATTTCTCAAATGAAAACTGCTTGTAAAGTGTCCCAGAGGAAGAGAAAAGAGGAAAACGGAGTGAACACTTATTCAGTGAGGAATAATTACATACGGGGCAGACACTGGCTACAAGGTAAGGACCCCATATTTCCTTGTTCTCTGTAGTATTTATCACAGTTCAGCATATAAGCTAATTTTCATTAAAAATTAACTTTTCCCAAGTCCTGGTACACACCACCACTTAGGCTGTTGTGTAGGGTGGCATTTTCTGAGGAGGACAGCCTCTAGGCAGCTGGTCTCTAGCCACAGTCACGTTTAACGCTCACTTTAGAAAGGCACAGAGTTGCTGTGTCAGGTGAAAAAGGTCGTTCACTATACCAGCACACTCGTACATATATACATAAATATATATAGGTATATATACGCATATACACATACACATATATAGCTATACTACAGTATACTTTATGTTATATATAAATAAAATATTTTAATTCCTCCTTCCTTCAGCCCAACCATCCATCATATGAGGATACACAGAAATGCTCAAGAGTTTTCCGGCTGGCCCTGCAAAGGATCACAAAGGCAAGATGGCAGACACGAGGTGACTTTTGGTCATTAAAGAGCCAGTATCACTAAGCTCTGGTACCTAAAGATTGTTAAGCCAGAAGAAGGATACCAACCCAATTCAGGATAACAAGCTTTTAGTCTCCCCCTGAGCATAAAGTCTATTACCAACTCCAACTTTATTGTGTTCCCTAATCTGAGTCAGCTCTTTGGTGAAAAACCAATGTACAGCAAGTGCATTCTTCTGAAGATAATGCTGTGTGTTCACATTCTTGAAAATGGAACATTCTGAGCATAACTCTGCATGAGTTGTATTAGGAAGACAGAGGGGAGTTTTCTAACAATCTCCAAGAATACATTGTGAGCAAAAACAATATTTCTGAAAAGTTAAATGAAACATATGATAAATTTCCTAAATATTTATTTCAGTCTAATATTGATATTATTCTTCAAAGGAAATGCATAGAAATAATACTATCAAGATAAACATATTTATATTGGAATATGATCTACATTGGAACATAATTATAAAGGAATATTTACACAAATTAAGAAAAGATGGTCTCAAAATTATACTAGAGACCCTTCACAGTGACATATGGAACTCTGATTTACCTAAGAAAACCTTATGCACTCAAACTTATTTAAAATTACTCCTCCCTAGGCCCCCACCAAATTCCTGTATCATTTTGTTGAAACTTTTCCTATTCCATTTATAGTAATAAAGCCATGAAGAAATTTAAATTATCTATGTCACAGGTCTTCACATTAGGTAGCTAACATTTTTCAGAAGTAGAATGTATTTTTCTATTTAAACCTTTATGTTGTTGTTGTTATTGTTAAACTTTTTTTTTAAACAATGGGCCAAGAGTAGCTGCAACATTCAATACATCCCAAATCACAATCTTAAGATATCCTGAATCATACTCTAAAAGATCTAGAATCATTCCTAAGATATCCAGAATCATACTCCTAAGATATTCAGTCACAGAACCACTTTTAATCATAAAAGCTTAATATAAAAACTTTAGTCATAGCATCTACAGCTTGAGTCATTCCTGAATAAAACTATTAGGAACAAAGTCCCTAAATCAACCCCCCTAGAAAAACATTGATATAAAACAAATTCTACCCTCAGAAAAATTTTTCAGCCCTAAACAAAATGTAAAAAGCAATCAGTATTTGGGGCATTTGCATTCCGGGCATGCTTGCCTTGCTGTCTACCTGGAGAAAACACCTATATTTAAAAGATCCTGGGGAAGCAACTAGGGCCCATTCAAATGCCTCTTCAAAGCACCTCATTTAAGTTGCTACCTCCGTCTACGTATAAGGGTCTAGGAAGACTTTAGTTACTACATTGCAAGAATGTGCTAAACACTATGAAGAAGAGTAATGATGTCCATATGAGCTTATGGTTTATTCAAGAAGACATACATATAAATTATAGCATAGAACATATATCATTTGATAACCATCAATGGTATGAAGTGTCAGAAGAGTTTGGAAAGCTTAAGATATTCAAAGGGGAGTATCAAGGGAAAAGCCTACTTAATTTCAGAGGAGAAGAAAATAAGGTGTCCCAATCTCCAGGCTTGGTACTCTAGACTTCCTTAATTTGGTATTGAATTGCTCTTCCTGCAGTCTTTTATCAAAGTAGTGCCACAAACAGAGGGTGTTTCAGTCAGATTAATCCGAGGGTGGAGGGTAACTGGGGAGAGCCTAGGATAAGGAAAGCAGTTCTCAATAGAAAATGGAGGAAGCCAATACTTGCCAGGCACTGATAGTATTTCATGTAATCCTAGGAAGAATTCAGTTAGAAAACATTTTTATAGATAAGAAAAATAATTCAACAACAGTTCATCGCCCAGAAACAAAAAGCTGATTGATGAAAAATTACTCAGGTTTAGGGACCTGGCAGGCAATTATGCTGGGAGGTCAAAAGGGTGAGGGAAATCTAGGGTCCTTGTAAGTATGAATGTGGTAGAAACGACTGATGCAGAATCCCAGTTAAACATGAGGAAAAACGCAGCAACTGGAAGACCAGTCACAAAGTAGACTTAACAAGGAAGATGAATAACAAATCCAATTAAGAAAGAGAAAGTGGGTAAGCTAGATGTCAAAAAGGTTGTGTCCAAAGAGGGAACACCTTAAGATCTCAGGAATGGAACAGGTTGGAAGTGATCAGTTACCACCATCCTGGTGGACAGGGGAAGTAGACTATGGATGTAGGTTCCCAGAGTTAAGGAAATGGAAGAAAAGTTAGCCCAGGGGAGCATGTGGAAAGGTCTAAAATAATTATGATGGGAGACAGGAGAGGACACCCTGATTCTAATACTGAAGTCATTAAGGTTAAAAAAAAAATCTAAAGAACTCAGAAGGCTGATAGCAGAGAAGACGGCAGTGTAAACAGATGACTGGCGTGTCCAAGAAGAAATTTTGAGGAGTAGTGATAATGAAACCACTGTCACCTGTCAGCATCAAGAACTAGGACAGACATTGCCTCTTTTTTTTTAACGTACGTTCAATTCAGGGAAAATTAGATGAATTGCCTTTATTACCCCCAGCCATGTCCATTATTGTTATTATTTTAAAACTGGGGTAATGGTATTATTTCAGGGATTGAAGATGATGACTTACAAGATGCCTTCCTCACCGAACAGAGGAATAACCCATGTGATTACCCGTGTCTTAGGTCGAAAGCCCCCAAGGACGTTCAGAGGTTTCTCAACCTCACAAATATGCTTCAGTGTGTGATCTCCAAAACTACTTTCGATACATAATAAATGGAAAAACACGACTTACTTAAATTTGATGAGAATTTAATATACAATACTACGTATTGTTTGCTAATGTTGAGCTTTTCTATGTTCATGTTCTTGCAATAGTCTGTAAAGTTACAGATAACCTTGACAATAAATCTTAAGATTAAGGTTATCTTGAATGAGTTTCTTCTAGATAAAAGCACACTGTAAGAATGCAATACCCAATATATTGCTTACTTATTCTTTTGTTCTTTACACACACACACACACACACACACACACACTATACTAAGGTCAAAATAGCTTGAATTTCTACAACTTGACTCCTGATAACAAATGCGCAGTTGAAGGTGAAATGTGGAAAAGGACCAATACACAACTCCCGTAACTTTCCACTTCAAAATGAAATGGAAAATTATACTTGGCTCTATTCCATTTTTCCAATTTTTATGCAGTTATTAAAAATAGGCCTCCTAAATCACATCTTCACTTCTGAGTTAAAGTTTAATTTTACATTTCTATTAAATTTATCCACATTTTTAAATAAATTAATTAAATCATTCAATGAAATTAAAAATCCTGCTAGTTTTACAGATGGATTTATCTCTTTTGATAAAAAATAGAGTATTACATTTTAAAAGTAGTTAGTAACTTCTGCAAAATCAAATTCAGAGAAGCAGCTTAAAAGAGAAAGAATAATTTGGAGAGGAAGGGAAAGGGTTCTTTTTATGGGTCATTGACTTGCTTTGTAAGTTTGTCTTACAAAAGCAATATAACTGATGACCATTTTTCTGGGAAAGGCTATTTTTAAAAAAATTTATTAAATGACTAAATATAAAATAGCTCTAAATTTCAAGAGTTACTTGACAGGGGTTGTGGAATTCATAGCATTGATATTAAAACATCATCAGAAAAATTTTAATACCTTTTAGCACTTTTTTTAAATAGATAACTAAACTAAGTGATAAATGACATATTTTGTCAAAGAAAAAAATCAAGAAGTATACAACAGAGGGTTTCAATGACAGAAGAAGAAAGAGAATTCCTGGTATTTCATGCGCTCCACCATACCTGCCATGAACGGTAGTAGATTTGATAACATCCCCAGGCAGAACCACTGAGAGTTCAACGTCTTTATCTACCATGTTTTCTTTCTGTTCCATGATAAAAGCAGAGGATTCTATAGAATCATCAACTGAAGAGGCATCAAGGTATTTGGTCTCAGCTGGAGGAAGTGGTGCCTTCGCTTTTGTTTTTTTCCTAAAATAAAAACAAAACATGAAAAATAAAACATATGTATTTTAAAAGTAAATTTTTACTATGAAAAAATTTCATAAAAACACAAAATGTGCATGTATATATGATTTTCACATCTAGACAAAAAAATGCACCAAAACCTTAACTGTTAGTTTACTAGGGATGATAGAATTAAGGATTTTCTTTTTGGCTTGTCTTAATCAGCAGTTTTGCTTGTTTGTTTTCAACAATATGCCTACATTACTTGGTAATAAAAAGAAACATGATAAAGAGATTTGATATTCGCAGCCATTAGGTTCAATTAATGCATGCTCACTATAGCAAAGCAAAAGTATAACATTTTCTTTGATGAGATAAATTATAAAAATCCTCCTTCGGGAGCCAGCCCCGTGGCCAAGTGGTTCAGTCTGCACACTTTGTTTGCGGTCCACCGGTTTGGATCCTGGGCACAGACCTACACACCACTTGTCAAGCCATGCTGTGGCAGCATCCCACATAGAAGAATTAGAATAACTTACAACCAGGATATGCAACTATGTACCACTGCTTTGGGGAGGGGGAAAAAAAAAAGAGGAAGACTGGCAACAGATGTTAGCTCAGGACCAATATTCCTCACCAAAGAGCGTACCTTTAAAAAAAAAAATATCCTTCCTGTCAATATCTCATTCTCACACCTCGTTATAGCTCTTGTGCCTTTTATCCATTAATTTCTAATCTAGTGTGTTCTGCCTCTCTTCCAGATAAACCCTACATATCCTTCAAAGTCTAGCTGAAACCAATCTCTCCTTCCCACCCACCCCCTACACAGAGTCTCTCCCTATAGAGCACAGACAACAGATTCCATAAAGGAAATATTTTTTCCATTTTTTCCTGGGTGTCAGTTCCACCTCTTTGCCACCATTTATAACTCTCTGCAAGAAAGAAGCATGCTGTATTTCCCACTGAGCTTCACAATCAATGATGAACTGTGATTGGTTACTTAATAAATTATTTTTTCTGTTTCAATGAAAAATGTTACAAATAATTATTCTAATAAACACACTTCAGTGTCCCTTACTAGGACGATCCCTTAACTGATTTATAATAGAACTAGGTAGCAAACATTCTGAAAAAATTCACATGGGCCAATTCAATGATTTGATGGGTTGAAAAAGGAAACGAAAATAAATATAAAGTAACTACAAGTAATAACATACACATATTTTTTTGAAAGTCTTGCAAATTAGAACTTTTGAAAATGTTACCATTACAGGCCGATTGCTTTTGGAAGAATAAATACTACTGCTTTCTATTCAGAAAAAACACAAATTTTGATTCTTCCCTCTCCCCATTTCCCAGGCAAAACAAAAACCAAACAAGATAAAAGGGCTTCTTTGTCGGTACACATGTAACATCCAGCCATTCAGTATGTTCAAAATTTACGGCCTCACAAATCTAAGCACGTTTACACATTCAGCATCATGAAAAAATAGAAGCAAGTTTCCTACATTGTACATAAATTTTCTAAAATAATAGGGCTTTAATTTTTAGGAGTATAATTTCAGAGATATATTGCACTTCAGAAAAGATTTCTTTAACAATAGTGACAAAAATGAAGTTTTAAAAGTGTTACAATAAATATAACAAGCTTATAAAATCTATATGAAGAAAACTTTATCCAATTTCACAACATTTTTAATCCACAGAAATTGACCACTCATGTATTCAAGAAACATTTATCCTGTAACAGACAATCATGTAGCAGATTCAGCTAAACACTGGGGATGTGAAGATGACAAGACCCAGTCGTCAGTTCCTACCCCTAAAGGGTTCATACCCCAAAAAGGACTGATAGATATACACAAAATTACAATAAAGTTTGATGATTGCTCTAATATAGGTCTGCAGACAGCACCACTAATGCTCATAGAAAGAGAAACTTTCTTAGGAATCCAGAAATGTTTTATAGATGAGAAACATGAGTTGGGTTTTGGAGAATGAATAGAAACTCAGGGAAAAAACAAGAAATAATTGATATTGCAGGCAGAGGAAAGCAAATGGAGCCATGAAACAAAGTGGCACTTTTTAGAATTGAACAGTTTGGTAAAATTCCACAGAGAACTCACAGGAGACAAGAAATCAGTGAATCAATTAAAAAGCTTTTATAAATAAGAGAATTTGGCAAGAATTGTATAAATAAGAGAATTGGCTTGGTACAAAGGTAACAAGCTAAAGTCAATAGTCTCTGTAAACATAAGCAAAAACTAGTCAGGAAGTATAATGAAAGAAAAAACTTCTTTTACAGCAACAAAAATGAATTGTAAAAGTTGTTACAATAAATATAACAAGAACTTTGCAAAATCTATATGAAGGAAATCTTAAACACAAAATATTCAGCTGGAATCTCTCCCTTTGACTCCAAATTTGTAAATCCAATACCTACTTGACATCTGGACTCAGATCACTAACTGGAATCTACAACTTCATTTAACTTCCGATTCCTCTCCCCAGCTCCTCCAAACCAAATCTTTTCCTCTCCAAGTCTTCCCATCTCAGTAAATCACAATCCTTTCAGTTGCTTGGGCCCAAAATCCCCTCTCACACACACCCTCACGATACAACCATCAACAAATTCTGCCAGCTCTCTCTTCTACAAACAGACCCGGAATCCACCAACACCCTTGCTCACAAACACCTCTGTTCCAGCTGCTAACTGGTCTCCCTCCTGCCAACCTTGTCACGTTACATTCTATTCCCAACATGGCAGCTGGAGTGACCCTTCCAAAATGTAAGTTGGAGCACCACACTTCCTCTCCCACCTTCCAATGGCTTCTGGCCTCACCCAAAGTAACATGCACAGTCCTATGATCTGTCCTCTCCTACCTCCAGCCTCTCCAGTCTCCTCTCCCTGCCTTTCTCCCTAGGCTCACTGCATTCTAATCTTATGACTCGTGCCTTTTCCTTGAACACACTTAGAACAACCCTGACTCAGAACCCTCTACAGAGTTGGCTCAGGACCTTAAGATAACACCTCTATTTCTCTGCTTTACTTTTGCCTTAGGGCTTACCAGCCCTTAACACACTTGTTTATCATGTCTCCTTCCACTAAAGAGTAATTCATCCCATGAGAATAGAGACTTGTGTCCACTGCCATGTGTCACACATATTTGCAAATGCATAGAACCTCTGGAACAATGCTTGCTACATAGTAGGCACTCATATTTACTGAATGAATGAATTCGGTGAATACTTCCACAAAGATGAGTGTACAGTTGGGAAGGAGAAAAGTTCTTACCACGAAGGAGGAAAATGAAATTTTATATCAGATTATCTCTGTTGGATTTTGGAAATTGATTATATTTTATTTTTAAGGAGATGAGTACTGACAAATACACACTAGATTTATTGGCAAGGGTAACTGGGAACTTCAGGGCTTTAAAAGAGCTTCATGGAGAAGGCCAGAAGAGAGGCCCAGCTGCCACAGACAGGCAGGTGAAGCAGCAGGAAAAACTCGGTCCACAGAGGACCAGGCTTTCAGGAGAAGCAGCAGTGAAGAAGGTCTGATCGGCACCTCCAGCTGTCAGGGGGATCGTCCCCGCCCCTGCTTTCATGATTCCAGGCACCTTCCCATGGTCAAGTGGTGCTCATCATGATCTCCATTTGAATGCCCTCCCCATCCTCTCTGCCTTTACATATTCTATCTATCCTTCAAGGTCCAGAGTGAGTCACAATTCCTTGGGACGTCTTCCCTGTCCACTGCACACTGCAATGAACTCCTCTGGCTCATAGTTTTAATGTTCTGTGTATTCTGTCTCATTTCCTAAGGTAGTTTGCGTCTGTGATGAAAACCTATCTCTAATTACTAAAGATAAGCCTACTTTAAAAAAAAAAAAAAAAAGGAAAGCAGAACAAAGCACTAATTGAAATATTATCTGCATAGAACTTCTATTAAGAACATCTTAATATTCCCCAGTATTACTTCAAATATAAAAGCATCTGTCATCTTTGGTCCTGAAAATTGGAAAGCACACGTGAATCAGACCAAGATCCTTCCACACTGAACTAGAAATCCAATAGGGAAGATGCAATGTGTAAGTAATTAAATAAGGAATACAATTCAAAAAAGAAGTGTCATTAAACAGATGGGCAACCTTGAAAATTCAGAGCAATGAGCGCAAGCTGAAACTAGCTCTGTGGGGGTGGAGAAGCAGGTATCAAGGTGCACTTCAAAGGGAAGAGGCATGTGACTCAGTTCTCGAAAGGAAAGCAGAATTTAAACAGGTAGAGCCTGTAGGATCAGGTATATGTTGGTTCCCAATTGTGACCTGTTTACATTAAATTTAGGAATGTGTCTATCTGGTTAAAGTTTGCTTAGCACATAGTACAGTTTAGTACAAAGAATACAGGTAGAGGCCTGGATTGGGCCTGAATCCTAAGTAGCTTTAAGACTTTGTTAACTTATTTGACCTTTTACTCACCAGCAAAATTTTTAAAATACCTTTTACCTAGTCACATCTCTCCCAATATTCTTAATTTTTTGACTGAGACAGTTTGAAGCAATAACAAAATTAAATTAAATGTCACCAAAGTCAAAGATCTAGTGAAAATAATCAAAGGTTATAACTAAAGTGTAGGAAATCCTGGGAAAGCAGAAAAAAAAAAGTTAACACATGAATCTGCAACAATAACTATAATTTAGTGCTTAAGAATACTAGCTTTCTTTAATATTTTAAAATCACCATAACTGCCATTGAAGGCCCCCACGACTTTTAAACAGGAATGTGCAGTTTTCTTACCCAAGGGATTTTTACATAAGCTCTTCATCACCAGTGGCCTAGTTTGACTATCAGTTTCTGCACCTTAGAGGGTGCTACTCTTAACAGTCAACAATAGCAAATTTCAACAAAGGTGGGTGGAAAGGAGGTTATACTGAAAAGATACTTGGGACAGAAAACTTGTCTAGGTCAGGGCAAAAATTCGCTAATCAAGCCTTAAAAATCACAAGCCATAGTAAATTATGGCTT